GTGCTACACTGGTTACCACTACAGATGGAAGTGACTTGGGGATCATGGTTGACCACAAGATGAACATGAGCCTTCAGTGCGACGCTGCAGCTAGTAAAGCGACCAAAACACTGGCTTGCATCCATAGATGCTTCTCAAGCGGATCCCGGGACATCATTCTTCCGCTGTACTCGGCCTTGGTGAGACCGCACCTGGAGCACTGCGTCCAGTTTTGGGCTCCACAATTCAAAAGGGATGTGGAGAAGCTTGAGAGGGTGCAGAGGAGAGCCACGCACATGATCAGAGGTCAGGAAAACAGATTTTATGATGAGAAGCTGAGAGCAATGGGGCTATTCAGCCTGGAAAAGCGCAGGATCAGGGGATAATTCCTCAGGATCTGGGGGGAATGTCTGTTCACCAGAGCCCCACAAGGGATGACAAGATCCAACGGTCACAAATTCCACTGTGACTGATTCAGGCTGAACATAAGAAGGAACTTCTTCACTGTCCGAACCCCTAAGGTTTGGAATATACTACTGCCGGAGGCAGTTCAAGCACCCACTTCTTTGAACACCTTCAAGACACATTTGGATGCTTATGTTGCTGGGAACCTATGATCCCTGCTGACTTCCTGCCCCTGGGGCAGGGGGAAGGACTCAATGATCCTCCAGGGTCCCTTCCAGCCCAAATGTCTATGAATCTAATGAAGCAAGACAAAAGTTTTTGTGATGATTAATCTAATGCATAATTCATCCATTTAGTATTTATAACTCCTGTCAAACACGTAAAAGATGACATTGAGAAATGAGGTAGAAAGGTGACAAAATATGTTATAAGCCAAAAATGAATGCACCTGTATTATTCTCAAAATAATTCCAATATTACTTTCAAACTGTATCCAACCTATCACTAGTTTCAAAAATCTCCACTGGAAATGGAATAATTGAAACCTAATATTTACCAACATCATAGCAATCACTTGGAATTTCATTCTCTCTTACCCACACACTATCTTGTTTTCTTTGTGTGCTGACATAATGGTTATGAAAACCATCTGTAGCAGATTGAAAAAACAAAATTTCAAAGACTCACGGAGGCCTCATGTTTAACAGAAATAGGATAAAACCCTAGGGTGTATTAAGTTTTTTTGGTAGAACAGAGCTTCAAAACATACAGCAATCCTACCTGGCCTTGAAAGCTGTAACAATGAGTTGTAAATGTCATGACAATCCCTTTCTCTAGGAACAATAAAGTGAACTATTCTGAAGTTCTTGCACTGGATTACAAGAGGGCAGCCTGAAGTAGTCAAGGCAAGTTTCTCCACTGCAGCAATATGATGATGTAGTATCTATGGCACACAAGAATTCAGTATAAGTTTCATTGCAACATATTATTGACCAATGATAAATAATATTTTAATAATATTCTTGGCAGCCCTTTACACAGATAAGTTGACAAAGCTAGTCAATAGCCTTATACCATAAGCTCTATTTGTACAAAAGAACCCTTGATATCGGCATTTCATAGAACCCACCATAACTGTTTATTGGAAGCTATATTCAGTTTCTTTTCCCAGCTTCCTGGGATTACCAGTAAATCACGAACTTTAAAATTAATCCCTTGCTTCATGCAAAGCACTGAAGTAAATCTTCAAGACAAGCTAATCAATATTTTTAAAAGCTCTGCTAAATGACAAATTGTATCTACTGGGGGAATGGATTTATTTAGATCATTGTCTCTAAGGCTTGGGAGTGCTCTTCAGACTTTTATAAAATGAAAATGGCAAGCACCAAGCACAGCCAAAATACAGAATTAAAGGGTTGGAAAGGACCTCAAATGCCAGCTATCCCACCCCCTGCAGAATCTGTAATCCCTACACCATCCCAGAGAAATGCCAACCCTCTGCTTGGAAATCTTCAATGAAAAAAAAAGATCCCATGTCTTTCCTAGATAGTTTGTTTAATTTTCTTATCATTGTTACAGTCTAGAGGTTTCTTTCTGGAGTCTTATCTAAATCTGCTTGGCTGTAAAGTCACATCTTTACATATGAGAATTTTCTTGTCCCCAAAATTTAGTTTTGAGCAACTGGATGTTTGATGTGTAGAAAATGCATCCCCACCCCAAATCAGGCTTTCACAGGTTAGCCTACATATTTATGCCTATAACTGCAGTTATGTACTCCAAAGTTCTGCTCTTGAAACAACACTCATGAGCAGCAACTTTAAGAGCCAGATCAGTATGAGCCAGGAGTACTATAAATCAGCATGACAAGGAAGTAGAGACAAAAGGAATAAAAAAATCCAACACAAGAATGCTACAGGTGCTCCTGTGCCACCTGAGACTCTGAAGGGAGCATATTATTCAGTTATCTAGCTAATGCAGGCATTTTTTAATTGCCATATAAAAGGAAAACACTATACAAGACCCTGAGAAAGCATTTTGCCAGATACGTATATTTGAGAAGTACTGAAATTTAAGACAGCAATTTAAAAAACATACAATGATTAAAGATCATTTAGAGGAAGTGCCATAGTAAAAGTTCTCAGCACATGCCGTACTGGATTACATAAGTAAATATTGCACAATGGGACCAGAACAGTACTTCTAAGTTAAACAATTTTATGTATAGTGGCACCTTTACAAATTATGTGCTATTCACACAGAACCAGTAAAGCACAGCAGGCAGCAACAAGTCCAATAACCATGATACAGCATTAAGTGTAAGAAATTTTTGCCTAGGAACATATCCAAGATAGTTTTACTATTCTGAAAACCCACAAGATTTTTGGTGCCTACAAGGATCTGGGTCTCAGTTCTTATGGCTTTGTTGTTGCATTTAAGGCTACCAAGATCTGAATCTGAAGTTCAAGGAAATTCAGCTGCATTAACTGAGGCTTCGGCAAAACAACCTGCCCTGAACAGAGCTAGAAATCAGAGGGAAAGATACAGATCTAAGCAAAGCCAACATAGAATCACAGTGCCAGAACAGGCCTTGATGGTCATTTAGTCCAAATCCCACACATGATCTAACAGGCATAACCACCTCTTAGCAGAAAAAAGGAAGCTAGTTATTTAATGGCTTGTATTTTTAGAGATGGCAGAGCTGCCACATCCAAGAACAGATCTACTTATTTTAAGTGCTTAAACAGAGTTACTTTAAATCTTGCACAGTTTTGAAAACATTAGCCATAATGAAAAGGATCACATCTAGATGAGTCTGGCCACAGGGAGCCCAACAAGACAACTTGCCTTGCATATCTCTATTTTTTATTGCTGATATGTGAAATGCTGTGAGGAGAAATAATTTATATTTTATTTAAAGAGAAGTTACAGCCAGACAATAATTTAAATTTAGCATGCGTGGTGGGGAGGGAAGGAAAAGAAAGTGCATCTGAAATAGCAGTGTGCTTTCAGGCTATTAGGCATCTGCTTCCTTACCCAAGTCTCTTTCTGGCCAGAATCTATAAATAATAGATGAGTTGCTGTAAGGTACAGAGTTCCTGTTAATGACTTGTTGTTGGTGCTGAACCGGTCTAGTAACTTCACCTGCTCTACCTGTAAGAGAGAGAGAGAGAAAACAAGAAAAAAAAATGCAAACGTGTTATTTTACAGGAAGTAAAATCCTTCTTTGACAGTCCTCTCAGTCCACAGAATAACCTTAATGTAGAGGAAGCTCCAAAGTGTCTAGTGCAGTCTAATATGTTCCAAACTAGTAAACCTTTGATAGTAAACAAAACTGACCTGCCAAGGAATGCCTAGATGACCTAAATATCCTGTTAGAAGATACAATGCATGATAAAGCCAGAAGGCCAGGATCATGAATAATCTATCCATATCTATAAAGTTAAAATCATTTTTAAAAAGTGGCAGGAATGATTTTCCATCGTGTTGGCTGGCACTCTGAAAACAAGAGTGCAATTTTTAAAAAGGGAAAAACAAGGATAGCATCAAATTCACATGTAGTAAGAAACATTACCCTGCTAGATGTCAATATTGAATTACCAGTTGATATCAGACCT